AGAAAATTGCCAAGAAGTATGGAATTGTATGTCGACTGAAAAGCGATTTAACTATTGCCAGTAAAATACAGCTATACAAATCGATGATCTCTCCTACTCTAGACTTTTGCCCTTCCATTTTATTTTTGGACAATGAAACACAAACATCGAGATTACAGCGCTTGTAGAATAAAATAATTCGCTTGATTTTGAGATGTAATAGTTGTCGGTGAAGCAAAGAATTGTATATTTGAATATGGTGTTCATTTTTAAAGTAGTTAACGGTTTTTTGCCTCGATAAAAACTTTGCTAGTCTGTGTAGATTTCAGTCAAAGCATGGATTAGAAACAGAATGGCATTTTTTTGCAACGTCTCATAGAAAAGGTCCCTGTGATGCCATTGGTGGCACTCTCAAGCGAATGGCAAAGAGAGCTAGTCTTGCTCGAGATTATGGAAACACCATAACAACTCCACGAGAATTATATAACTGGGCAGTTGAACAAACAGATAAAAATATCACAAAACTACGTTTCGAGTACATATCCATTGAACAGTACATCGAAATGTCAGAAGAACTCGAAGAACTATATAACAGCTCAAAGACAATATCTGGCACACAGAAACTCCACAGTTTTGTGCCTATAACTGGTGACAAAGTAGTGGCAAAAAGGTATTCTAATTCAGAAGATGAACCAAAAATATTTAACTTGATTGGAAAAAAGAAAAAATAGCATGTATGAGAATAGGTTTAAAACATTGAAAATAAATAAATAAATGATATATGAAAAATCTTGTCTTTTTTCTCTCACATATTATCAAATTTTGCATCAGTAGTAGACAACAGAATAAGGGAATGATATTTTTTTTTTGACAAGGTCTACATCCAAATAGTTTTATTGAACTCTGAGAGGAAGCTGCCAATTCCAAATACGATTTGGCGAGAAATGCATCATGAGCCCTTTTCATATGAAATTCTCGATTAATCAAAGTGAACTTAAGTGCTGATTAGACAAAATTGAATCGCAAATTGAGCTTCATTGGATTCTGAGATGATTTTGAGCTTCACTGGTTTAGTTTTGTGTGAAAATGGCAAATCAAAAAAAAAAAAAATCAGTTCAGTCATGAAAAAGTTTTTGTAAGAAAAACTTTTTTTCCTTAAAAGTGCCCATCTCGCGATGTATCGACGGTTGGTAGTAAACATAATTACCTATCTTGAGGCAAAGTTTCATACAAATCAAACATAGCCATTTTTTTTAAATCGACTTTAAATTTTAAAAATCGATTTTTTTTCAGTTTAGGTCTGAAATGAAATTTTTTCAGTATTTTTTTCAATAATTTGGTCAATTTTTTAAAAGTCATCCATACAACATATTTTTGTTAGAGTTGTTCCATAATATTTTTTTGAAAAAAATCGGCAGAAAAAGTTTGGCCCTTCTCAAATGTTAGTCTAGATAAATTTTGGAAAAACTGAGTATGCAAAAGTGCTTATTTAGTCAAAGTCTACACATCCAGAAAATTTTATTGAAATCTGAGAGGGTGCTGCCAGCTTCGATTCGATTTGGCGCGAAATGCGTCAATAGTAGTAGATTTAAAAAAAAGCAGTCAGTGTTCACTCGGCTGTCGACAAAAGCAGGCCACTCTCGATGTGTGCTGCGCGATCGTCTGTTTTCTCGGCAGCAACCATTGTGTGGTCCTCCTCATTGTTCTTCATCAGCAGTTCTTTCGGTCGATGCGTCGTCGACTCTGGAAAGCAACCGTTTCGTGATGAGTGTGTGAGTGCTGACCACGTTTTGCGTCCATTGCATTGCTGCAATGGACGCGCTCTGACCCTCGTTGGCGTACAACAATTTGCCATACAATGAAACCACTGGAAGCGGCTCCAGTTCTGATGGAGGAGGCTTTTTGGATAGCGGAAGATAAAGTGTTTATTGTGTTGTACCTTTTGACTATAGTTTTAAGATGTATTGTATAGTGACCAAGAATCCTCGGCTCTGTAAAGTTAATTCGGTTATCAAATAAATTAATAAACAAACAAAAAAAAAGCAGTCTACAAAGGTTTGAGCCTCGCGCGTGTATTACGGATATAGAGGACTGAATTTAAAATTTGATAAAAAAATGTTAGTAGTAAGTTTTCTGGAAAATGTCGGGGGTTAATGAGCATTCCTGACATTGCTGAAAATTATGATAGCACCAGATGGCGGGATTGCTAATGTAATAGGATGCTTTGTTGATTGTACATTAGCGTTGAATGCTTGTCATACTAATGAATATTTTAGGTGGACAAAATGGCGAACTAAGAGGTTCCACATTTATATCGCTGTGAAGAAACTGTAATGTCTAGAGGGTATTTATATCTGAAACTGCAACCAGTTCGATTTTGTTTTCTAACCTGGTTAAAATGTTATATTTAATTATCTTAAAGATAAATCATCCAGCTCAATCCTTTGTAGGGGTAAGAGGTTAGACTATCATCATCATCATCATCATCATCATCATCATCATCAGCAGCATCATCAGCATTATTGATTAATATTAGTTTTATAGTGGATTTGAAACGGTAATGTCTCGACCAAGTAGATTCATTGCTTCATCAGAAGAGAAATTAGATTTATCTCGAAAACATCATCGCTTTCCGTAATTACTGCCAACAATTCAATCACCATATGAAAATCTACACTATTTTGGTGGCGCATTAATTTTAGGCTTCTATCATCCCAATACGCACAGTAAAACTTAATGCGCATGTGCATTAAATCTAAAAGTGCTGCTATAAGTCACTTATTATTTTAGCTCTTTTATTAATGCCACCATCAACCAAAATCAAATGCACATCGATCTTGACCTCAACGATAGAACTTTTTTTCACGGCTATAGATTTCTAAATAAAAAAAATAGTCTGGCTACTGCTGTTATAGTTTTTGTAGAACAGCACTTCAACAAGCTTTATGGCAGTTATTGCCAAGCAATAAAAAATCAAATTGGATGTATAGCTGATTTTCAGCAGAGCAAAATAAAACTGCATGAATTTAATATTATTTTTAAAGAGTTTATGAGAACTTGGTAGAGTATGGAGATTTTTTCCCCAGTGTTTAAAACATCTTTATTGTTTTTCTCAAGCATGCTTTAAAAACCTTATCGAGAGTGGTCCACTTTAGCTGGAAGATAATCTTATAGTGGTTATCAGGAGTTGTGGTGGAGCTTAACAGTTTTATAAAATTGATCTTAAAAATCGCTAATAAGCTACAATAAATCCAAAAATATTACTTGGGGACCCTGTGCATGAGGGTTTGGATAGCGTTCAATTAACATTTTGGTCATTGGTGCATGATTCAGTTATACGCTTCCTATACATTCCTATTATGATATACGTTCCTATTATGGTGTGTTCCAGTTATGGGGTATGGAATTCCAAATTGTGTTTTTATTTCTACATCAAAACGTGTCCATACTTTCTGAGACTCTCTATATATTTATAGCGGTAATGATAAACCTACGATTTACCCAGCTTTAATTGCTTAATAAACGAATGGAACAATTAAAATGATGAAGCAACCTGTTTCACAACATAGAAAACAATTGACTAAAAAATACATATTCAAGTATTAATTTTACCAATTGGGAAATACACACGTGTAAAATCACTGACAGTCTCTGGCTCACCCATAAAGATTAAGGGAAACGAGTAAATCTTGCCACTTTGTAAACAGTTGTACCTTAATTGATTGTACTTCTGATCGACTTAACAAATAAAATAAATAGGCTTCTTAGAATATTAGCGGATCACCTGTCGGATGAAATGTGTTCCAATAAAACAAATTTTTGCAATAAAGGCAAATGAAAAGTAAATGAACAAACAAAGTCGTCGATATTAAAACGTAATAGCACAATCTGTATAGCACGAAATAGCAGACGAAATAAATACATTATTCATGAGCAATTCCTAATATAATATGACGTGTTGAATAAACTATTCTGCGTGAAATGTGAACGAATAGCTCAAAATTGAATAATTTAAAATGATTACTCTGATATAAATGCTGATGGGTTTTATTATACACTATTTGTATGTTATTTGTTATAAAACGCTTTCTCCAGTTCATGAGATTTCAACAAAATTACTCACAGTTACAAACACATACTGAGCGAAAGAAACGAAAGCGAAAATATATCATTATCATAAAGCTGAGTGCCTCAACTCTTAAACACTGCAAGATCGGTAGCATACAGCCACATGCTCCGCTTAATGACTATTCCATACATATTTCTTAACCAAGAACGAGCCATGATAACTTGTTGACCTCTGACACCTCTTTTCAACAATTACCCGGCATCATACCAGATACAATAACGCCACCGACTCGTTCTTATTCATCAAGCACACTCCCTTCCTCAACTTAACAATTGCATCATCACGAAACTATGCACGGCATTATCACGTCTTCTTCCACATACTCGTCGTCCATTAAAGTCCATCCCACTTCAAATGCGCGTTAATTGGTAACCTTGGCGCCGGTAAACTTGTCTCCTTGTCGTTGCTGTTGGTTGTTTTTTCGAAAATTCTTCAACGGCAGCAGCAACGCCTTGTCCCAACCGGATTAAGAATGCTGATCACGAAGAACTAGCGCCCAAAAGTCCATTTCAAGAATTATAATCCACTCGCCAAACGAAGATAAACAAACCACGACGACGGTAGAACAAAAAACAAATACTAACATCGCATAATCATTTCGATATCACCGCGGTGCGATCCTCTTCCAAGACGTCGATCACGCGGGAAGATCATGGCAAAAGGGGAAACTACCGGGGAAACCGGAATTTCTGGCAGCTTAATTCAATGTGCCTGTTTTATACACACACTGTGCTCTGATTGCGAATTACGGCAAGCCATTATGAACGGGTCGATCGCCATTATTGTCTTTAGAAACTCATCCCGAGATTGCGAATAATTAACCCCTGTAACCGAATGGCACTGATGATCGGATGGCATTAGCATCCTACTTCTTAATGCGTCGGTAAATTACCTGCACTCACAACGGCGACCAGCAGCACGACACCAACGATTGCACTTGAGTATTGCATCTTCTTTGATTTTTTTAACAAATTGATTTCCAAAAATTCCTACACTTTTCAAACTATCACAGATTGTAACGATTTTGGGGAACTCTCAGTTTCTTCACCAAGCACGGTACGTTTTTATTCCAATGGTCAGCACTGCACAACGTTCGTCGAATCACTGTGGTGCGAGGTTTTGTTGATTCAAACTTTATACATATCATCGGGCACATCTTCGGAACACCACCAGAAGAGAGCTGGTTGAAGAGAATATGGAGAAGCGACGAACCCGATAGTGATGTTTCCCTCTGCAGTAGTGTGTTACTTCGGTCCCTCTGAATGATGAGTCGGTTATCTTGCTCTCTTGGGAGGAATGAGTTGCGACCGAACTGTGGGCCGAAGAGAAATTGATTTGAGGGAATGAAATCATCATGCTTATTGTTAGCACAAGAATTGCACAGCTCATGCAAAACAAATGGCATGAACATCAAATGTAAGTGTGGATTTGGTACATGCTCTGTATATGTGTCTCGCAACAAATGTAATTGTAGTTTTTACAATGGAAATTATAAAAATAACTAAAAACTTTCCGACAACCACATTACTGAATGTGTATACTTTTTATGCAAATCTGTAATATAATCTTGCATTTCCGGTACTGTACACAGCAAAAAAATAATTTTGATATCACGTCAAAGTGGATGCACTACAATCATGTCGAAAATATGGTGTAATATTACTTGCTAAAAAGGACAAAATTATCATTAATACAATGCATGAACTGACATTACGCTGCTTTTACTGCATTTGTTTATTTATGTGGTCATAAAAATTACATGAAATTTTCGACATGATTGTAGTGCATCCACTTTGATGTGATATCAAAATTATTTTTTTGCTGTGTAGGGGATTTAAAATTTTTCCCACAGATATAGTTTTTGGTTATACGAACAAAGAAAAACATTTACCAGGATTGCATCAGGCGGCCTTCACTTCAAATAGATCAACAGATGATCATATATTTGTAGCTAGGTACGATGGAGGAGTATTGGAACTCAGGACAGGATTTATACATATTAGCTTTAGATATTAGTAAAGCGTTCGATAATGTCAAAATACAGTGTTTTGGAGAGGAATTGACAAAACTTGGAGTGTCTTCGAGACTAATAGATAGAGTATTATTACGTGTTAAAGATGGGATAACTAAAGTTTTGTGGCAGAATCAGTTTTCCAAAGAAGTTAAGAGAGGAAAAAAAATAACACAGGGTTGCCCTCTTTCACCTTTGCTCTTTAATTACATAATACAAGTTGTTTTAAATAAACCAGTTTAAAAAATACCGGAATTGCAATTGTTGGATATAGGCCAGCTAAAACTGCCATTATTACTTGTTTTTGCAGATGATATCCTAATTATCGCAAAGTCTAGAGCAGAGTTGGAAGAGATACTAAAAGAATTAGTATTGCAATTAAAAACAGTCGGGCTGGAAATAAACTGTACTGTAAGAGTCAGGTTCTAATTAGATATCCTAATGATAAGGCCCAGAATTCAAACGAAATTATTTTGAATGGTAAAACATTTAAAGTACACAGCTAAAAAAAAAGTAGTGTAAATTTCCATTACTATGATGCACATAAATGGAGCGTCATATATCATACAAATTTAGATTATAGATCGTGTTAATTTATGAGACATGTCATGCAATATCCCGTATATTGTATGCAACTGTCCACTTTTGTTTGCAACATTTCTTGCAAGTTGCTAATTTACGTGAAAAGGAAGTTTACATGTATGAATGTTTGCATGCATGGATGTTTACATCGCCAGTAAAATTCAGAATTTTTTGGAGTGTATGCGATAGTATATCATATTTAGGAGTATGTTCAGCATCTACGTTTAACAGAAAATTAACATGCAGACAGAGATGTTGAAATGCGGTAAAATCTTCCAAGGTTATATTAAAGTTTTGTAAGAAATTCAAACCAAGCTGGGAATTAGGAAAATTAATGTACAAAACAGTGATAGCAACATCATTTCAATACGGCACTAAGATAGTAGTGTTGACAAAAAGTAGGATAGCGTTAGCTAGCTACGAAAAACTTACTTTGAGGAGCATATACCAGTATTGCGTTAAAAAAAAGCGATATTAAGTTTAATGCAAGGAAGCTATTAGAAGGCAAAACAATAAATGGGAGAATTAGAGTAGGACGTATAAGCTACTTTGGACATGTATTGCGTGGAGAAAATAAGCACCCTTTGAAGCTAGCATATAACTTAAATTTTGAAAAGAAAAAATAGGGACTGCCTACTTTAACTTGGAAAAGGTCATTAGAACAAGAGTTTCCAAAAATTTAATAACATGGATAGAGCGAGTTTTGAGGTGCTTTCAACGGACAGGGAAAATATGAAAAGGAAATTAAAGGAAATATATAACAATGAAGAAAGTGAAATTTCAGATGGAGAGTCATCAGATGAGAATAACAAAAGGAAGAACCCAACTAACAATTTCCGCAATGTAAACGCTTTACTCATTTCATTTATACAACCTCAAGCTGTATTCAAATGTTATACGATATGAGGAAACCTTTACTCAACCTCTTTACAAGCAAATATGGCGAACTTAGGCAGCTACTTATGGCTGTAGGGACGGTTGGAACATGCTCTTATTGCATATCCATTTACGCTTCTATACAGCTGTTATCCTGCTGTGAAGTTGTGTGTAAACTTGAAAAGCGCATATTCGACAATTTCCCGGTTATCCAATAAACACTACACAGCTTTCTCTGGAAGCCGGTTTAAATATTGTTAACGCTTTTTTGTTGGAGGATTCTATTAAGCTTATTTTACTGTGAATCAAATCAATCGAAATTAGTTATAAGAACATCACCACATTTATTTACCCAGTACTGGAAACCTGTACTCGATCTCGAGACAACCGCATTGACACTACCAACTTCGCTACGCCAACACTTTGAAATTATGTAAACAAATCTACATGCCCTTCTACAACAAGATCACTGAGTAGAGGCTTTATAAAAGTGCACATGAATCACTTTTCTCGACTAGTTAATTCAGCTTTGTAAAGGAGCAGAGTAAAAGCGGTGAGACCGCACACGTCTAAAAATAAACCTAGTTCACTGTAAAAATCCTCCCAAAGTAGCGTTAACACAGTTTATTAGCTGAGTACAGGTTTTTAAGTTGTTGAAAAAGCATTTGTGTTGTTTATGTTATTCAGCAAGAGTGGTTGGTTGTGTAGAAGCCATGAAATGAGTAATATATTCACTTTATTGGCTTTGTTTTGCAGCTACAAGTTGAAAGTTGATTAATATTGGCATAAAATTGACATTACCGTTTATTGGCTGCCCTTATTCAGTGCGTCTGACAAATTGAATAATGGTTGTAAAAAAGTTGAGTAAACGCTCTCTAAAACTATTTTGCTAGCTTCTGCTTCTAGCAGTTTCTGGAGCTTATTTTCAGCTACTTTATAGCACAATGCTGGAAAGGTTGGCTTATAAAGCTGAAAATGTTAGTTGGCAAGTATAAGCATTGAAAAGCAAAAATAAGAAGAGAAACGTGATGAGAGAACAATGATTTAATAAAGTGGGAAAGGGGTAAATAAAGGCGTTGCCACAAATCAAGATTCGTGCTTGTGTTCGTAATGTAAGTGTTTAAAAAATATATAAAAGGCCAGGAGGGGTAAGTTTTCCAAGAAAAGGTTAGATAAACTACTATTGAACATATATGGACATATTATGAGGATAGGGATGGGACCAGCGATTTGGATGGGGAGAGTGTAATTTCCAACTTCCTGTCGTTAACAGATCGTGGATTGAAGGCGGGTTCTTCTTCCCCACTCATTGGGACATCCCCTCGTACGATGGCTAGTCCATTACCGGGTTGTAGGATTTTATCGTTGGAAGAAGATTCTCCTTAATCCCGCGGACTAAGCGTAAGAGTCTCTGCTTACGGGTTCGCCCTCCGTTTTTGGCCTTTCATACAATGGTAAATTGAATACAATCAGGTGTTGTACTTGATCAAGTCGTAAGAGGAGGACAGTCCACTGTCTAATGGTTGTGCCTGCAGCAGTGAGAGGTTTCCTTTACATACAATACGTACATACGAACGAAGACATTCCAACATTTTGGCGTGGTTAATTTTCCAGGAATATTTTAGTTGAAGTTTTCGGATTTTACCAGCCATCACGTACTTTGATAATTCATAACTCATGAACCAAGCATCGTAAAATAAATTTTCTACGATTACAAGAAAAATAAAGGAAAGATCTCTCCCGATATATTGCGAAAGAATCCATGACATGACGATGATTTCGAAGAGCTCCAATAGATATGCTGCCGCTACTTCTTCAACCGGTGTTAAAAACAACACTCTCGCCTTTCGGTTCTCACACAGCAGCGTAAACCCAATTAATCACGAAATACACTCTAGCTGCTCCAACTAGAGGGATCTCAGCAGAGAAAAAAAGGACTGCATCCACCTTCCATCACCAATCACTCGCGACGCCAGCTCCTCACCGGCCGAATCAACTCGCGACCAACGCCAAAATCAGAACTAAAAGCTGCAGCGACCGAAACCCAACGCGTCTTATAGCGGCCACGATTGCGAACTAACACCGATTTTTGCCCTTAATTTGGAATTGTCATCGGCAGAGAAGCAGAATGTGTCAAAAGCTGCAAAACTTCTTTCGCACACAACAGCAACTGCTTTAAGAGAACGATTCCAGAACACAAATGAGGCGGAGGAAGCAAATCATGTTGCAGATTTTATCACAACAGTTAATGATTGTTTCGATGTATTTAATTCATGTAAGGCCAAATTGGAAATGAAACAATCATTTAGGGCAGCTGATCATCAGATTACAGATCTCGAAAATATGTTAAGCCTGATGTCTGATTCTCGAGGAATAAGGAAAGGAGGGTGTGCTACACAGTACGAAAAAGTAGTGTAAATTTCTGTTCAGTGAGATGCACATAAATGGAGCGTCACATATCATATAAGTTTACATTATATATCATGTAAAGTTCTGAGACATGTCATGCAATGTAGCAAATATTGTATACAAAAGCCCATTGATGTAAACAACATTGTTTACAAGTTGCTCGGTTGCGTGAAATGAAAT